ATGCCCCCCAGTACACAATCAAGTTCATTTTGTGTTGGCCTAATACTCCTGGGAATGGGGCCTGCCTGATGATGTGGTTGATATACCCAGTACATTCCACTGAAGAAAACGGATTTTCTTTTTCCCAGAAGTTATATCTTGCAAATAGCATCTCACTTCTAGGTGAGACTTTGAGTCTACTTTGCCTTTTCAGCTGAAATTTTGTGTGGCTTGAACTTGTGCAGGTCCTGTATGTGCTGCCACATACCCTGCAAGTTCATGTGTGCATTAATCCTGCTGTGTCTGTGTTTCCTTGGAGTCATCCACTACCTCTTGCTCTTACAGTCTTTTCATCTCCACTTTCACATAGATCCCTGAGCCTTCAGGGGAGCGGGTATGATGAAGAAATGCCATTTAGGACTAAGTACTACAAAGTTTCTCCCTGTCTGCACATTGACCAGTCATGGGTTTCTGTGCTAATTCATTTCTACTGCAAGAAGAATAATCTTTATGGAGGGATGGCTGGGCAATGTGCCGATCTGTGGGTATAGCAATATGCCATTAGGAGTTATTTTATTGCTCTGTTCCTTTAGCAGAATAGTAGTGGTTGGTTTTCTGCTAGCCCCATGACCTTCAGATTCTGGGTCACTTAAACAATGCAAGTTATGAATTCCATTTCATGGACTGAGCTTTAAATCCAATAAAAATGTGGTTGATTATGTCATAACACTTGTCCTACTATTGCATCTGTGCCTGACTTGCAGGCAGGTCATTGTTGTAGGTCATATGATTTGAGATTGAAATTTGTAGAATAATTTCCAGCACAGCGAACTCTAGTCAGTGGATTGAAGCATCTAGTTAGGCATCAGTGACTTCTCTGTGCTTGGTGGCATAAGTAAGTATTGTCCTTAGCACTAAGACCTACCATCAGGTTGTTGAGAGTCACCAAGAGACTTGGTAATATTGTGTGATATTTGCAATAGTCCTTGGGACTCCTTTGGCTAATGATTTAGCAAGATATAACTCAATCTTGGTGGTATAAGATTTCTAATTGGGGTATTGTCTCCTTCATTATGTGTTGACTCCATTTAGATTATTTTCATATATGTATATTTTAGGATGATTCTCCACTATTGGTTTCCATATAGTTTTTTAAATTTTGTATATACACATACATATATATATATATTCATTTTTCATATCAAATGCAGTTCCACCTCCCTCTCCTCCTCCCCCTGCCTCTCACCTCCCCTCAACCCACCCCATCCACTTGTCAGAAATGGTAAGGTCTCCTATTAGAAGTAAACAAAGCCTGGCACATTCAGTAGAGGCAGGACAAAGCCCCACGCCATCCCCCATATCAAGGCTGGGCAAGGCATCCCTCCATAGGGAACGGGTTTTTAAAAGGCAGCTTATGCACTAGGGATAGATGCTGGTCCCACTGCTAGGGGTCCACAGATAGACCAGGCCTGGTTCGGTCCCACGCACTCCTGCAAGTTCAGGTCAACTGTGGAAGCAGATGCAGAAATTCACCTCCAAGCACCAGGCAGAGCTACAGGAGTCCAGTCAAAGAGAGGAAGGAGGGATTATATGAGAAAGTGGGATCAAGATCATGATGGGGAAAATCGATATAATTTTTCAAAAGGCCTTTAGTGTTTGATGTCTTTCCCATATTCCTTCCCTTACCCTACTTTCCTATCCTTCTCCCTATTTAATCCTTTCCTTCTAGTTTCCCCTTTATCTTTCCATAACACTACTGTCTATTTATACTTCTTTGGGAGATCTTCTCTTTATCCCTGGTATCTTAATAGGTACCTAACCTCTGTAGTTATTTGGATTGTAGCACAGATATTGAAAGTTTAAAAGCTAATATTCATATATAAGGGAAAACATGCAATATTTGTCCTTTTGTGTCTGGCTTACCTCACTCAGGATGTTTAGTTCCTAGCTTCATCCATTTACCTGCAAATTTTATAATTTAATTTTCTTAACACTTGAATAATATATCATTGTGTAAATATATAATATCTTTATTATCTGTTCATTAGTTGATGAGCATTTAGGCTGTTTCCAATTTCTGGTTACTGTGAATAGAACAGCAATGAAAATGGATGAGCAACTATTTCCTTAGTAGGATTGAGAATCCTTTAGGTGTATGTCCAAATGCTGTATAGCTAGATTATGCCACATTATCTCTTACACTATCTGGAGGTCTTAGCTATGCCTCTTATGATGAGCAACTGTGTGGCTTTCAAGACTTCTACCTCCTACCGAGTGCAGTCAGTAATGAGGCATTTCCTTGGTAATGAAATAAAATGTGGACTAAGGGCAGGCAAATGTGACCAGTACAGATTTAATGCTTCATTTTTCTTTTAGCAAAACAAAACAAGACCAAATCATGCAGCAGTTTGATTCTATCTTTTTGCTATATGCACATATGAATTCATGTTGCATTCCTTCTTTTTTTCCTATTTTCCCTCAGCAAAGACTTTCTGTTGCATTAGAATTCTTTGGTACATTATGATAAATGATGTCTTGTGTATTCAGACTCTTTTAGAGTCTATATTGTATTAAAGATCACATGTTTATTCAGCTTAATGTATGTAATTGACTATTACCTGGCTTGACGTATCTAAATGTTTATAGAAACCCAGTAATTATGTACCAGTTGTGCGTTATAGTCATTTCACAAAATAAAACACAATTCTCTTCATGAGTAGATGGTTCGATTTCCTTTAAGCCAGACAAATAGAAAAAGGGCTTATTTTTTAAATATCATTATTAACATTAATCACCAAATGCATCTCTTTCTTCACTGTGCAATGTAAACATTAAAGATGCCTTGGCCACCCTACATTAAGAACTGTTTTAGTGCTGGTGTTGTTGTATAATTAAACTGTTTACAATTTTGATTCTTCTAACACAATAGTAGCAACATAGTTTAGGTGTCAAACCAAGGTTTAACATGGTTTTTTTCACAGAAGTAATATTGTTTTTATTGAGTCACTGTTTTGCTCTATGAAAAAAAAGTGTATTTTATCTTCACTGACATATGTGTTTTAAAAAAAAGCTATGTCCTTTGGGGAGACATTTTTCCCAGTCCACAGCTGTTTTCTATTTGCATCTATTTTTCTCAGAATTGACTTGTGTTCTATGGAAACTCCTGTGATCTTGAATTCCTCATCTAACTAAGGCTCAACAAGGGAAGAATTTGGGTCAAGTTTCCAGAGACTTTTTAAAGAAAGCACTGAGACACAATTTGTCAAGAAATTGAGTAGAATAATCACATTTTTAGCTTTCAGGCCCAATTCTAGGGATGCCTGATTTTGGCTATGCAAATAATATATTAACTTACTCAGTTTTATGAAAAATAATTTTATTTTGATCATGTTCTTTCCATTCCCCCAAATTCTCCCAAATCATCCCTACCACCCAATTTCATCCTTTCTGTCTCAAAACAAATTTAAGACAAAAAACAAAGGTCAAAAAACCCAACACACACACACACAGAGTTTGTTTTGTGTTGTTCAACAACTTCTGGGCATGTAACCTGCCCTGGAGTGTAGATGGTATGCCTACCTACTGATAGTCCATTGGAGAAAATTTGTTTTCTCTTTCTTAGCACGTATCAATTGCAAAAAGCATTCTGTTTGGGTTGAGACTTTGGTGTGTAATATTTTGCACTTGAGGAAGTTTCTATAACTATAATGTAAGTATTTTCTTGAGGGAGTAACACAATAAACATTTTTGAAGTTGTGCTTTATTTAGTGTAAAATTTTCCTTTGATTTCTCATTTTTTCTTACAAAATACATTTACTCATTCCTATCATGTGTTCCTGGGAATAGAGTTACTATAGCTATTTATGTGCAAATTTTTCCTTGTACATAAGAGTTAAAGCAGTTAGGTAAAAATCTAATGAACTAATGTGATATTTAAAGTAAATTCTAGATATGTAGGATATTCAGATTAAAATATAGAGCCACGTTATTTAGAATGTAATCTAGAATAAGACATTAAACTTTCCATAAAAATTACCTCAATATTGATCCTAGACCTGTATGTGATACACAAAGGGGAGATAGATGTTCTAATAATCTTGATGAAAGATAATGAGAGTTCAGAACAAGGCAGTACCAATTGGGATACTGAGAAGAGCATACAATGAATGGATAGGTGGTATATTCATTGTTTAGGTGAATAAGTCTGATAGGACAATCTGTAGATTGTGAGTTCAAGAGAGAAGTCTGACATCAAGATGTATGTCTTAGAACCTGTAGCACGCACACACACACACACACACACACACACACACACACACACACACACACACGGATAGACAATTACATCCCCAGCTTTTAATGAGTAAATACAAGAGGAATCAACAAAGGAAACAATATGAATGAAACAAAACACAACAAAGAGAATTACTGGCGGAAAAAAAACCAACCTTGTCATTAGTTGAGACATGATTGTAATCTTTTTATTGTAAATAGTAGAGAATTGGTAAAATTAAATAATTAAGTATAGGGAGAAAGCAGATATTTTTTTTCCAAGACAAGATTTCTTTGTGTAACAATCCTGGATGTTCTGGAACTCACTTTGCAGAACAGGCTGATCTTGAACTCACTGAGATCTGCCAGCCTCTGCCTCCCAAGTGCTGGGTGGGATTAAAGGAATGTATCACCACTACCCAGTCAGATATTTTTTCTAATGAAGACTATAATTATAGTACCAGAGAAATCATTATGATAGTAATAAGGATAGTTGTAAAATTATAGCAAAATACCTAATATTGTTAATGTTTGGTTTTTTATCTGTGGTATACTTCACTAAGAATCTTTTTAAAGAAAACTATACTAAAATGTAATACTATGCACTAAGCTTTATGCACCATAAACACTCAAAAATAATTTACTGTTCTGAATTAAATTGAACTGAGATTCCATTAAAATGTAAATCATCATCTTCTGTGTTCTGGAATAGTGTGAGTTTTAACCTGTTCACTTATTTTTTAATGAAGGTCATCGAACATTATTTATTGGAGTTCATGTACCTCTGGGTGGAAGAAAAAGCCATCGTCGTCACAGGCATCGTGGTCATAAGCACAGAAAGAGGGACAGAGAGAGAGATTCGGGACTAGAGGATGGACGAGAGTCACCTTCTTTTGGTAAGCATCATTCTCCTTGTTTTAATAAATAATTACCCCAATGTATAAGCCACTGTTTTTTTATACCACCATCTTCTCTCCTCCCAAACTGTCTGAGTCTCTTTACTGAGGCTTAGACCTAAGACCTGCCTCATTAGGGACAACATTGGTTCACTGGTAGTCTCTAAACAATGTAACTTCCTGCGTATCCCTTTTTCCAAGTTTCTTTAGTAGGATCAATCATTTGCTTGAAAACTATTCTACAATGGGTAAAATCAAATACTCAGTCACATGTTGAGATTGAGACCATCTTCTAAACACTATCACAGTAAGATGGAGATTTGATATTCTGTATAGTGAAGACATATGATAACTATTTCTATACTGAGAGAAAGCTTCAAAGAAATATTCTGAAGGAGTCCAAAGAATATAATAACATATTACTGCAAGTACCTCAAAATTGTTCAGAATTTACTTTCCAAAGACTTGAAGAATAAATAGGAAGAATTCCATGTAGCATGATGTTTATTGCTACGAATCTGGGTGTTTCACACCATGTGTTGTAAAGTTGTGTATGAGTCAGTGAAACAGGGAATAATTTGAGTTATAATTCTCAGGTCAGAAATCAACCTAACAATGTCTTTGGAGAAGTGTTTGGAGTTTGGTACTCTTTTTTCTTTTTGAGCTTATATTCTATTCAGTTTATTATAAATATACCCTTAAAATGGTTATGTTATATTTCTTTTTTATATATAAGTAATCATTTTACATACGAATGCCCCCTTCCCTCTCCCTCCCATCCTCTCATGCTCCCTACCAACCCCCCCCCATTCCCTGCTGGCTCCCCAAGGATAGTGAGTCCTTCCATGGGGGGGTCATCAAAGGAGGGTCTAGGCTGTCCCCCAAATGATGTGACAGACTTTGATGATCCCCCATAGAGTTTGGTATGCTTGAGAATTCTCTCACCTGGCACATGCTGGATATCATCAGACATAGTGCAGCTTATTATGTGACTTGTGGTTTTAAGAATCTAAATGTTTTAAAAGGAAAGACTTTCTGTATAGCTAAGAGTGAGTACTCTTATGTCACAGACAAATGATGACTGCTTTCAGTTCACAAGAACCAGAGCTGGAATGTGATTTCTTGGTGAGTTCAAAAGTGGTTGGTTGTACAGTGGTGGCAATGAGGAGTTTGATCACACAAAATATTTTCTAACAACAAATAAGGTTATATCACTTTAATTTTTAAACAATTTTAGGTATATGTATACATGGGTTCATGTGTATATACACATGTGTGTGTGCCCATATGTGTACATGTACATGTATGTGTGTGTGCTTCCATGTGGGTGTCAGAAGCTCTGATATAGGTATTTTCCTCAGTTGCTATCACTTTTATTTTTCCCAAGATGAGGCCTCTTAGTGAACTTGGAGTGAACTTGGTGAATTTAGTGCTTGGTGACCAGCAAGCACTGGGAGTCTTTGTCTCTCCACTTTCCTATAGTTCTGGGGTTGTAGACATGTACTGCCAGACCTGGCTTATATGTGGCTTCTAGGGATCCCCTTACTTTTGATGCCATTATCAGTAAATACAGTAGTTTTCATGAAAATGCGATGGTAAATATTTGATATTCCCCTTTACTGTAACAAATGGAAACTGTTCAGTTTTGTGTCTTGTTAATCTTTGTGTCATCATTTACTCACTTTGTATAATTTAAATTTTGCTTTTAGGTGGGATTGTTAATGAATATCTGAATGACCAGTTTCAAGAGTGAATTTACAGTCACTAAAAATATGAATTGCATTGAGTGAAATTCAGAAAAATTGATTTTCCCTTCACCCTCTCAAAGAATGTTACAAGAAGATTAAAGAGGATTATGCCAGTTACTGCTGGTTAATCTATAAGCAGTATAAATAAATTTGAGAATATAAACTCTATTAGCCAGTTATTTAAAATGGTACACAAAGATACTGTGTGTGTTAGCACAGTCTTGGAATTAGATGACTTTTCTAGGTTATATGGCAAGTTGAATGCACACTTCAGGAGAAATGGAACCGGTATAGAAAAACCTGAATTCAAAGAGCTACTTTTTTGATAGGTAATAGCCTTTTGCTCCCATTTTAACTCCCAACTTGATGATAGATAGGAATATATTTAAATTTTTTATTTTCCTTAGTATAACAGCAGTATTCACAGGTGCTAAAATATAGGTTAACACTTGCACAACTCACTGAACTATGACTCAGAAAAACCCAATTAACAACCAGCTGAGTTGACCCCAGAATCCTCTCTGCTTTTTCCAGATCACTGCTCTCATGTCTCTAGGAAGGCTTGATATCCTCCTTCTTAAGTGGAGTGTGTTTCCTGTTGCTGAATTTATATAAAAGAGATCCTTCAGGAGGCCCTGTTTCAATACTCTTTTTATAGAACTCACTAACGTTTTTTATATAGCTTTATTTATTATTTTTCATTATTATGCAATATAAATGTACTTCTGTATATTAAGCATTTTACTGTTAGAAATTTAGAGTGTAGGAGCAACTATGAGAAAAGTCATATGGATACTTTTATTTATAAGTCTGTCAGTGAACATATTATACACATGAGTATGATTGGTTATTGCTGTACCATGGAGCGTGTATATTTTCAACTTTAACAGGTAATACCAAATACCTTCTAACTAGATGTGCTTATTTCATTTAACATTTTTTTCTAATTACTTTTGTTTTTATTTTTCAAAACAATCTATTTTTATTTTACATAACAATCCCAGTTCCCCTTCCTCTCACCCTACTGCTGCCTCCACCTTACCCCCAACCCACACCCCATTCATGCCTCAGAGAAAGTTGTTTTTGCACTGGTGTCTCGGCATTTATAGTTAGGACGTTTGAGGTGTGTCGTGGTGTTGCTATCTGGTCTTTTTCTTGTTGGGTGGGTGTTCCAGTCTTTGGTTGCTATTGCCAGTCTCTGGATCCTAGACAAGCATGGTGGCTGTTGTGTCCCCAGCAAAGAGCTCTTTTGAGACCCGGTCCAGTGTAACCACTGGGAGTCCCTGGTAGAGAATGTTTATCTGTGTTGGTGGCTAACACAAAGGAATGGAGATGGACTAGAAGAGAAGGCTGATAAAGTCTTTTGGAAAGAGCTAAACTTGGTCCCCAGCAACAAGCAGAGTCCCCAGAAAATGGAAATATGATGGGAGGAGGGCCTCCCACAGGCAGGCTACAGTAGGACAAAGAATAAGTCTGTAGAAACAGGAATGAAGGGCTAGGGGAACCCTGGATCCATGTTTTAATCTCTTAATGATGTGTCTCTAGATTCCATTAAAGTCTACTTAGAAGAAAAGATATTATTCTTTAGGCAAATTTCTCTTTTTTGTCATTTTTGCTTTCACTGCATGTTTTATTAAATATAAACGTGGATTCTTGATTTTGCTTATGCTATATTCTATATCTAGTTTATGTTAAAAGCTTATTTGCTATATTTTGCTATAAACTTATTTTATAAAAATCTTGGCTGAAGTTTATATTACAGTAGCCTATGATTTCAGAAGCTACAAATAAAATACCTGTATTTTAAGAAGGAATAGTTACATTAACCAAGAGAATTTTTCTTTATGATTATGTATATATCACAACATACATCATACTTCTTTAAAGTATCTACTTCCAATAGACAAAAAACAGGCATTAGACAATGCATCATGAATTTCTATTGGAACAAAATCCAAATCCTTTTAAAAGATATTAAAATGTTGCTGGATGGTCATGAAAAAACTTTGATGAATAGAGCATAAAACCCATAAAATAATTTTATTTTAAAGAATTAAAAGCCAGAAACAAGAAAGCATATGTTATTTTGAACCAAGTAAATGATCTCCATCATTAAAGAGTAAATCGCTATTTTCTGTGCTACTGTTATTATTATTATTATTATTATTATTATTGTGTCTTAGAGAAGTCTTTTGAATGCCTGATATCTACATCACACTCTCAAGCCCTCTTTATTCTTGAATAGGAGGTTGTTATTTCTTGTTCGTTTTGTGATTTATACATTGGAGGTATATAGTAACTCATCTTGATGCTTTCTAAGGGGATACACTAAAAATTCTCAAGTTTAAGTCACATGTAGATAGTAATTAAATTTTATGGATGGATGCATAGTATTGTAGACACCCAAATTATTGATGAGTAAACTGAAATAATTAGAAGTACTGAAATGAAATATGTTTTACAGATATTAGAAACGCATTAGTGTTAAGGCACCCACTGTGTGGTATGTCGCTTGACAAGCAATTGGAAGGTTGAGGAGACTCCTTTATGCCACAACAACAATAAAACAACTGTGCTGCCTGCCCTACACATATCCAAAGAAAATGCTGAACTGATTTCTTAGTGTAACTATAGATTACAATAATGTTCTATTTATGGTTATTTGATATAGTGTTTGATTGTAAAATAGCGAGAGGTAGCAAGCCAACTAGAAATTATTTGGTGAGATCATGTTGGGAAACACAAAACTGTATTTCTAAGATAGTATTCTTGTAGGATAAAATAGCGCCAGATCCTTATCTTAGACAAAGTAGTTAAGGAAAGCATGTGGCACACCTTTAAGTGTATCTTTTTCTTATGTATTTATTAGTCTTGTTTTCAGAAAACTTTCTTCATTTCCTAAGTTAGCATCTTCCTTTGAAAAAGTAATTAATCATAAGATTTAGCTATTATCTCAGTTATTGTTCATCTTACACAGAACATAGTTTGACAGGTTTCTTAAAACATGTTAGTATTACTAAACAGAATTATTATTCTTAATACCTACAAAGAAAATACCTTGCCAGTGCCCAAAACTAATACGTTGAAGCCATTGTATTTTGATTATGAAATTATACTATATAATAATCTATTATATAAGAATGATCTGAGTGGAATCTTACACAAGTGTAATCTTGCTATGTATGTCTCTAGTTATTATATTTCTTTTTAGGTTTTGTGTAATACTTTCTTTGTATATTAATCATGTCATCTATGATACAGTTTTATTTCTTCCTACAAAGGCTTTCTGTGCATATACACTTACATATCTGTGGCCCTAAATTATGTTAGACAGTATTATGTTAAGATGAGTTGAATGCTTAGGTGATGAAAACAAGGGGTGTGGGGTTGGGGTTGTATCAAAGGTATCAACTTGGGCATTAAAGCTTGTAGCTGTGATAAACACATGTCCTTCTGTGTGCGTTTTTCATAGATACCCCATCACAGCGGGTACAGTTTATTCTTGGAACTGAGGATGATGACGAGGAGCACATTCCTCATGACCTTTTCACAGAGCTGGATGAAATTTGCTGGCGTGAAGGGGAAGATGCCGAATGGCGAGAAACAGCCAGGTAAAGGTTTGGGTCGTAGAGTGAAAGCATATTTCTTTATAAATTAAGCCATCAGAAGAATAGAGTGCCAGTGCAACAATTCTGCAAGTGTCTGGAGTTTTTGCAGTTTTTGAATTTGCTCATCTGTCTGGGGCAGATCTTATAATGGGATATAGATCAGAATGACATCTGAAGGCAGCAATTAAACAGTGATGCTGAGTCAGCTACAGCTGCAGTCTTAAAGATAAACAGTAACATGATTTTCGAACCATCAACACAACAATGGAAATCAAAAGTAATTTGTTTCTATCTTTTCAGCTTCTGACTTACACTCAAATTGGTGATATCATGATAATTTCACTGTGGGGGCTTTTTTAAAAATAAAGAATAAACATGAAAAGAGGCTTTAGTTATAGTCCTCAATTTCATGTAGTATTTGGTAATGAATAAAAATATTTTATGTTATTTTCCCAGGATAAGACAATAAATTCAGTGTTTTCTAATGTTTTCTTAAAAACTACCTTTGCTATCATTTGTAATTAATATTTTGGTAGTGCCATATGATTGATGAATTACTATAAAATCAGTGAGTTAAAATTTGTACCTTTCATTAATTTGTGCTCATTTACACCTAATTCATGTATTCAGCAATTGTTTATGGAATATTAAATGGTATATAGAACAGCAGCTGCAGCAGCAAAGGCATTAGATCTTGCTGCCAATAATTTCACATCTTGTCTAGACACAATGACACAATTGTAAATGCCTTGTAATGAATGCTGTGATTAAGGCATGCATAGTAACTAGGAAAGCTGAGGATTGCCCTTGGTCTACTGATTTCCAGATTTTTATATGAATATGACTCCAATGAGGTTTAACTAAAAATGTAGATTTTGCATGTATTAGGCATAGAACCTCAACTTTTTCATTTTTTGTATCAGCAACGTAAGTTTATGCAATCTTTTAAATTATCTCATTGCTATATAACTGAACTTTATTTAGTCAATATTGATAGAAATTTAGATTTTTTTCAACAAAACTTCTGTGATGATTCATTTCTTTATCAAGCTTCCGTTTGATGCCATGTTAAATACTTTTGATTTAAGGACCATATTCTTGATGGTAAGAACCTTAGCCACAAGGGTAGCAGAGAAAGAGTCAGAATAACTACACAGGATGAATGATTCCTGAGCTGACTCATGTTTTTATTTTTTTTAATTTAACGTATTTTGAGATTTTCATTCATGGGTATTGTATTTACTTTATATTCATCCCTCTCTTTCTGTTTCGACTCCTCCCATATCCTCCCTTCCTTCTCAGCATCATACCCTCTACACACACGCGCACACACACACACACACACACACACACACACACACACTGCCTTCCTATACATATTCGTAAATAAATAAATAAAAGCTGATCAGTCTGTATAATGTTACTTATAGTAAATGTAACAATAATTATTGAAAAAGGAGAGCATGAATTTGAAAGAGAACAAGGAGGGATATTTGGGAGAGTCAGGAGGAACAAAATGCATGATAGTTTGAATGAGAATCATAGCCCAAGAAGCTTATGTATATGAATATTTAGTTTTCAGTTAGTGGAACTGTGTAGGAAGGATTAAGAGGTGTGACCTTGTTGGAGGAGATGTGTCACTGAGAGTGGGCTTTGAGCCTTCAAAAGTCCACACCAGGCTCAGTGTCTCACCCTCTGCCTGCTGCATGTGGATCGAGATGTAAACCTCCCAACTCCATGCCTGTATTCCCAGATGCTTCCTACCATGATGATCATGGACTAAGTCCCTAAAACTCTAAGCAAGCCCCCAATTAAACGATTTCATTTACAAGCGTTTCCTTGGCTATGGTATCTCTTCACAGCAGCAAAACAGTAACTAAGAAAATAAAGGAAGGTGCAAACGATTTAATTATGTTAATCTCAAAAACTGAAAGTAATGATTCTTGAAAGGATAAAAATAGATTTATCATAGAGCTGAACTGTATCCTTCCTAAGATGACTCTTGATGGCTGTGTTTGGAGTTGGCCAAGCAGAAAAGTAGAAGGGTTGGTATGTTCAGCACAGGGAGAGGATGTGCTCTGAGTACACAGTTAATACTGAGGTTATTGTTTTGTTAATCTATCTCTCATGGTAAAACAGCTCTAATGAAACTGCTTTTGATGTTGAGTGCCTTCCTAAGGGGCCTCATGCTGAATCAGCATTCAGAAAACAATTGCCCTTCAATGGATATTAAACTCGAGGCTGTACTAGTTTGCCTTAACTCTGTCCAACAGAGTCAGTGTTAAGTGTTCAACCATGCTATTGATGAATGAATGATAATGAGTATAATGAACAATACTGACCAATATAAAATTTATTGAATATATTTTTAAGCAATCTATATAGATATTTTATTTACGTTAAAGTAGTTTTTGAGACAGTATTTCTCTATATAGCCTTGACCATCCTGGAACTCTCTTTGTAGACCAAGCTGCCCTCAAACTTAGAGATCTGTTTAGCTATGCCTCCCAAGTGCTGAGGTTAAAGTTGTGTGCCACTATACCTAGCTATACTGAGGTAATTTAAAAGGAAAAGGGGGATTTTCTTCTAGGCAATCTCTGTTAACAAACCGACAAGAAACTAAGCCAAAAGAAAACTGCCAATATCTGAAGATTCAAAAAGTATGAAATAGTAGATGAAATTGTTTCTCTATCTTAATTTATGCCTCCTTCAACAGGTATCACTATTAAAAGCTCCTTTTGAAACTTAATATACATGTTTCCCCCTTTTTTATTTATATTATAAAGTGTTTAACTTGCTTTTAGTTTCATATACTTATAATGTTTCTTATATTGGCCATATAAGTTTTATACTTTCTTTTAAATTGTGGCATTGCATTAAACTAAATGGATGAAATTTACTGAGCCAGACTGTATAGATGTTCATGTCTGTTCCTTTTACCAATAAAATTGTTGTAATGATTTTTTTCCACATATATTTTAACCCTATATTGTACTTATTTATGGAGAATAAATTCTTAACAGCAGAATTCTATGTACTAAAGAAGAAAGGCATTTTTCTTTCACTGTGATAGCTATTACAAAATTACTACTGTAAACTTGAGAAATTTAACCATCCACAATTGATGTATAAATTTACTCCATCTAAATCATTGATCCTCACTAACTCATGCTGTTTTTCTGTTTCAGACATATAACATATTATTTAATTTTTATTAGTGAAATTTGACATTATATATGCTTACTTTTACCTACAAAATAATATTCCTTTTGCCCATTATGTCTTTTTTTTTACTTTGGTTTTGTTTGTGTGATTTAAATTGATGTTGTGCTATTCTGTTGTTACTGACTTTATTGAAAACTTTTCATAAAGGAGTGAACCTCACCTCTTTCCAACTGCATCCAAAACTATAAGGTGAACTGACATGGTGGTATACTCTCTTAATTCCAGGCAGAAGTAGTTGATGTTTGTGAGCTTGAGGCCAACCTGGTCTACATGGTGAATTTCAGGCAAACTAAGGCTACATAATGAAAATAGCCTAAAAACAAAACCAAACAACACTAAAAAGAAAACGAAACAACAAAACTCTCGATTCTTCAAAAATACATGATACATTTTCCCATCTTTATTTGGTAACAGAAAAGCAATATATAATGCTGTGATATAACTCTGCCCATTTTATGTTTAAAACCTTGATAATGGAATAAAGTTCCCACAGCTCTCTTTAAGGGTAGAAGCATCTGTTCTCTACTGGCTACAGGAAACATATGTTCCTGGTTGGCAGGAAAGGAGGTAGATGAGATAACTGTGCCATGAATTAGTTGAAGCAAGTCTCTAATTTATTGCTAAGAAGTACTCAATTTTGAGATTTATTTTTTCAATTTTTGAAACTATAATACAATGTTTTGTCCTTCCCTTTCCTCCTTCTAAACCAGTAGATGGATTCATTGGGACCCGGCTCCATAATTCTGTATTTTGACTGGTTGTGGTTTCTGTAGTCTTCATCTATGGCAAAGAGAAGCCTTCTTGATAGATGTGAAGACTACACTTATCTGTGACTGAAAGGACAAATGTTTAGATTCCTTTTTAGGGACTATGCTGGTTTAGTAAATAGCAGTTGTAGGTTTCCCTCCAAGATCCATGACTTCACTAGTACTGAGTAGTCAGCTAAGTTTCCAATACCATAAATGGTGTAAAGTTGTTTAGCACGTCTCAAAGTCCAATTAGAAAGGGGTTGGCTACTGCCAATATATTCACACCACTACTGTAATCTTAGGTTATTGTCTTTTAGATTTTTCTTTACTCTATACCTTCATAATAGAAATGAGAATTGAAATTGAAATCTATGTTTTTTGTCCTGAGAACCTCCTTGTTTTAAGAATTGTTGGACATTTTCCACTTTCTGGATCATAAATGATCCATATCTTTGATTCAGAAATCTGCTTATAGCTTTCCCAGTCTCAGAAAGCTGGGAAGTGGCAGAAAGAACATTAGAAACATCATTCACTCTCAGAGTTGAGCACGTTAGGATTTCATCATGCTCTCATGAAATGACTGGAATTGTATGCACATCCTGAATGAGCAGTGTGTTGCTTTTTATTTACAAAGAATGAGAGGTGGTCTAGTTAATTATTACTATCCTCTATTAATACTAGATAGGATTCATATTTGCAGCTGTATGTTTAGAGTCGTAAGTCTGGCACAGCTGTTTGAAGTTCATGGAGACATTTGATAACAAACAGAATAGACATTTAAGAGAAAGGTACTTGCATTTTGGCTGGGATGTAATACTTCAAGGAAAACAGAATGTATTTGTTGGATATTTAAATTTTAGTGAGTTTTAAAGTGACAGAAGTAGCTTTGTTTTGCTGCCTTTGTTGATCTAAAAATAACTTGGGTTAATTTATGAATCCATCTGATCTTTCAAATGCAAATGGATTCTATTAAATAATTAGAATATGCCTTGACCCACTTATTTCTTTTGGTTAGAATTCTATGTGGAA